TCCAAGTTGTCGGCAACTTGCTCGATTTTACACTTCGGTCCCGTACGAACTCATCCAAACTCGAAATTGAGTTCCGCTTTTTCCTGTGTGTAGCTAACGAGCTCCTCTTTCTATTAATGTGATCATGCCCAATAACTTTACAAAATCCTGCTCTTCCGAGATTTTCGACCGTTCCTTTATTTTACAAATACTCGAAAAATATAAGAAAAATATACAAAAATCCACACAAATACTTAAATATTACAAATTACTAAAAAAAACTAAAAACTACCCAAAATCCCACAAAATTACTAAAAATACATAAAAATAATAATAAAAAACATTAATAAAAACATAACAAAAATAACACTAACATCAAGCTGATATTTTTCATGCCAGATTAATTCTGAATATTTTGAACTCTTATGGCAATTATTCTGGGCAGAGGGTTAACATGAATAAATCTTCCATATTCTTTTCTAAAAACACAACTCCTAATATCAGGAATGGAATCTGCAGCTCTTTATCTGGTATTTCATGAGTGAGTACATCTAAATACTTGGGGTTACCGTTGGGGATTGGAAAGAAAAAAAGAGAGGTTTTCAAATATGTGAGTGACTGTGTGAGGGATATAATAGGAAGTTGGAATAACATTTTTTTGAGTGAAGGAGGGAGGGACATTCTGATTAAATCTGTATTAGCAGCTCTCCCTACATATGTTATGGCATGTTTTAAAATTCCTCAGGGTGTTCTGAAAGACATATGCAGGGAGATTGCTAATTTCTGGTGGGGTAGTTCTAAGAAGGGGGGAAATAGAGTTCACTGGGCTTCTTGGGATAGGTTGTGTACTGGTAAGGAAGAGGGAGGATTAGGGTTTAGGGATTTGAGTGATTTTAATGAAGCTATGTTAGTGAAGCAGCTGTGGAGGATCATTTCTAAACCCAATCTCCTTGTGAGTAGACTGATGAGAGGGAGATACTTTTGGAATAAGCATTTTAGTGAGGTTAGAGTGAGGGGATCTGATTCTTGGGTTTGGAGATGTTGGGTGGGGGCCAGAAAATCTCTAGATTTGGGTCTTAGATATCAGGTTGGGGATGGTAGACAAATTTCTGTGTGGAATTCTCCATGGATTCCCAATAACTCTACTTTTAAACCTGGTACTGGGTTTCAAGGGGATAAGGAGAGGATTAGACAGGTGAGTGATTTAATTGATCAGGAAAAAAAAAGAGTGGGACAGGGACTTAGTGTTACAAACTTTTAATCCCATTGATGCTGAGCTGATTCTCAATATTCCAATCAGTCAATGCGGAGGAAAAGACTTTTTGGTTTGGCATTGGGATCAGAAAGGGAAGTTTACTGTAAAGAGTGCTTATGCTGCAATTAGGGAGCACAAAAAAAGACAAAAAGAAGGGGAACCGAGTGATGGCAGAAGGCTCAAAGACAGATGTGGAGAGTTACATGGGCTTTACCAATACCTCCTAAAATCAAGATGTTCATATGGAGGTGTTGGCATGGCTTTATTGCAGCAAAATTACAGCTAGTGAGGAAAGGGATGAGACTGGACACATGTGTGATCTTTGTGGGGAGCAAGAGGAAAGTTTAGAGCATCTGTTAATCAAATGTCAAAGAGCAGCTGTATGTTGGAAGCTAAGTGGATTGTGGTGGCAACAGAAAGATGAGAGTAATCAGAGCTTTAAAGATTGGTGGCTTGATCTAACTCAATTTGAGGAGGAAAATGCAAAGACAGACAGACTAAGTTTATCAGCCATTTTACTTTGGAAAATTTGGAACAACATGAATGAGTGGTGCTTTAACAGGAATAGGGAAGCAGAATGGGTAACAGTGGATTAAGCCAAGGAATGTTGGATGGAATTCAGGGCAATTTCAGAGGAGCACCAGGAGATGGCTAAGATGCAGCAAGGCCCAAGGACACCTCAGGTAGAGCAATTTTCCAAGGAAGTAGGACAAGTTAGTTGTGCTGTCAGTGCTTCAATCTCTACAAGGGGTGAACTGGGATTATCTGGGGTTGCTAGGAGAGATGAACAAGAACTCATTAAATGGGAGAAGGCTGAGTCAGGTACAATGGAGATCACTAAAGGATTGCTGAGGGCAATTAGGAGTTTGCTACAACAACTGATTGCATCTCAAATAAAGAAGGTGGTCTGCTATGTACCTGATTATGCAGTGGTTAAACTTCTGAGAGATCAAGTCGAGTGCAAGACAAGGTATAAAAGTATTTTGAGGGATATCTGGTGGCTGTGTACTTATGAACTTAATAGCCACTTTATTTTTGATCCAGGTGAATGTAATATAAGGGGTTTGTAAGTTTTTTGTTGTGTTTCTTTAGTTGCGGAGGACGAGCAGTTAGTAGTACTAGCTCGGGTTATTTGTAGCTTTTTTTGGCAAGTTCTATTGGGTTCAGTGGAACCCCCGGTTGTAAGACATTTCTTGAGTTTTCTAATTTTATTATCATTCTGACAAAAAAAAAAAAAAAAAANNNGTGTTCGAACTTGTGTTAGTTTAATAAACGAGTTGTCATAACTTGTTTAAAACCTCGGCTCAACTCGACTCGACTCGACTCGTCTAACAAATCTAAAATTGTACTCGAGTTGTATGCGAACATAACTTACGCATTTGCAGACATGTTTCGCTCGACTATACATTCGAAACCTATTAAAAAAGTGATAAACATAGTGTCTGTAAACGAACTCGTCGATTTGTTCAACCTCAAACTTTAACGAACCAAAATCAATTGTATTTAAACAATTCAATTCAAATAACACCTTCACGCATATACTGCTCAGAACTGGTCAAAACTTGAAAACAAACAGCCAAAACCACAAGCACCCAATTTATTACAAGAACAAAAACCTGCAACTGTTTTGTACTTGGGGTTTACCTTTTCCGCCTACAGTATACCAAAAGCAATTTGCAAAAGATTCTCAAATTTAAATTAATTTTCAAACACACACACACACACACACACACACAGAGCAATTGAACAAGCGCCATGTGTTGTTATTACATTGTCCCACTTCATTTTTTCTCCTATAAATAGCCCATCTGGAAAGTGCCGTTTCATAATCATACACAAAGCAAGACAAAAAAAAACTTGAAGATCAAACATAGTATTATTACTCTTATTACAACTCTTGATCAAGAAAACTAACACAAGATGTCAAGCACTGCAGGCCAAGTCATAAAATGCAAAGGTATGATTTTTTTTATTTTTTATTTTTATTCTTATTTAAGTGGGTTTAAGGGCTACAGTGAAAAGGGATGCCTTCATTTGTGAATATCAATCGATGATTACATAAGCCGATCCATCCGATTGGCTCCATAGCAAAACCGTTATCTTTATTTGTTTTTTTGTTTTCCTTTTTTTTTTTACTGTTCTTTTACTATTGCAGCTGCTGTGGCATGGGAGGCCGGAAAGCCGCTGGTGATGGAGGAGGTGGAGGTGGCGCCGCCGCAGAAAATGGAGGTCCGGTTGAAGATTCTCTTCACCTCTCTTTGCCACACAGATGTCTACTTTTGGGAAGCCAAGGTGATCTAAAATGATTCAAAATTTTGATCTTTTTTTGTTGATTTTGTGTTTGTTTCTTGTCATATGTAAACCATCAGATTTGTTAGTTAGTCATTTAATGGGCTCCATGATTAATTGATGTATTTAGAAGTAAGACTAATATTGAGGATATTTGCCATTTTGAACTTGTGATTCTGAATCTTGATTTGCCCTTTTCTTTACTGGGCTCTTGATTTATCTTTTCCAATGTTCTTTTCTACAATTTTTCAGGCTCAAGATTCTGTATTTCCTCGAATCCTCGGACACGAAGCTGCAGGGTACGGTTCGTTTAGCCCATTTATGTTAATGCCTAAAAATTGGATCTTTTTCACTCTTGAAGGCCTAAAAATTGGATCTTTTTTGTTGGTATTGACTTACATATATGCTATTGAATCTTTTTTTTGTTAGGATTGTGGAGAGTGTGGGAGAAGGTGTGACCGAACTTGCTCCGGGTGATCACGTTCTTCCGGTGTTCACGGGCGAATGTGGAAAATGCGCTCACTGCAAATCCGAAGAAAGCAATATGTGCAGCCTTCTGAGGATCAATACCGATAGGGGTGTAATGATTCATGACGAGAAACCGAGATTTTCGATCAAAGGGAAGCCGATTTACCATTTCGTGGGGACTTCAACGTTTAGCGAGTACACTGTGGTTCATGCAGGCTGTGTTGCTAAAATCAACCCACTTGCTCCTCTCGACAAAGTTTGTGTTCTTAGCTGCGGGATTTCAACAGGTAAGAATAAAATCCATTTTTCTATTTTGGGAGATAAATCGGCTTGTTGTTATTGGAATTTACTAAATTCGTCGTATTTGTATTAATTAGGCCTTGGTGCTACATTGAATGTTGCTAAGCCGAAAAAGGGCTCGTCGGTTGCTGTTTTCGGACTTGGAGCTGTTGGACTTGCCGTATGTTCTTGATTCCTCTGTTTCTGTGATGAATTTGAAAATTAGAACGAAATAAAGTCTGATTTGAGTGATAATTTATTCATATTTTATTTATTTATTTATTTATTCATTTCCATGTTTAGGCTGCTGAGGGTGCCAAATTGGCTGGTGCTTCAAGAATCATCGGCGTGGACTTGAACTCTGCCAGATTCGAAGAAGGTTCGATTACGAACTCATACTTAAATTTAAAGAAACAGAGTAAACTCATATCCTTAAAATGTAATAATCAAGTTGAATGTTGTTATTTTTTGCTAAATGCAGCTAAGAAATTTGGTGTCACTGAGTTTGTGAACCCAAAGGACTATAACAAGCCAGTTCAAGAGGTAACAATTTGGATATACCCAAAGTCTTTTAATCCCTGTAGTATTATTTAGCATGTTTGTTAATATTAATAACTCTTCTTTATATATTCCCTTTTCATTTTTATATTTATTCAGGTGATAGCCGAGATGACTGATGGAGGAGTGGACCGAAGTGTCGAGTGTACTGGAAACATTAATGCCATGATCTCTGCATTTGAATGTGTTCATGATGTATATTACCTTGCCCAAATTTTTCGAAATTATCGAAAAAAACATTACTTTTTTTTTTTCCTTACCTTTCTAATGATTTGATAGGGATGGGGAGTTGCGGTTCTAGTTGGCGTGCCTCATAAAGATGCCGTTTTCAAAACTCACCCGATGAACTTGTTGAACGAGAGGACTCTAAAAGGAACTTTCTTCGGGAACTATAAACCGCGCTCTGATCTTCCTTCTGTAGTCGAAATGTACATGAAAAAGGTTAGTTGCTTTCACTTTTCACTTCCCTCTGTGACTAAGTAGTCAAAATCTCTACTCGTAGATTGATAAATCTGACTACTTTTTGGTCCTTTGTTTAGGAACTTGAACTCGAGAAGTTTATAACTCACGAGGTCCCGTTTGCTGAGATTAACAAGGCCTTTGAGCTCATGCTCAAGGGTGAAGGCCTTCGTTGTATCATTCGAATGGACTGAAGATAAAATGAATGTACTTATTTTTGGTTATCAGTGTTGTGTTTTATGTTCAAAGATGCCTCTCTGTGTTTCGAATTCGTTATCCCCGGTTTAATTATGTGTACCTTGGGGGCTTTCTCATCTGCAAGACAAGTTTAATTGAGTGAATAATCTGTTTTTGTGACAGAGTTTGTATGCTGAATCTTGATTGTACTCAGTTACCAGATTATCCTTTTAATGTAAAAAGCTTTTGGTAATTCAGCACATTTTGAGCTCATATTTAACTATTTTTGTGGCACAACTTATTCAATTATCAATACAAAATATAAAGTAATCACACACATTTGGACTAATAAAGGCATCACAAACATTAATGAGTTTGATGAGTACTAGGATTAGAAGATTCTCCAGTTTCAACATCAGTTATATCAACAACTTTTTCTCCAGTTTGTGCATGCATTTCTTTCTCTTCAACCTCATTCTTGATGATCTTTTCTTGGGTATGTTTATCTTCTTCCACAGACAAAACAACGGCCCGCGGCCCCTGTGGGCCCGGCACGATAGCCTCCTTCACCCTCCTGTGCTTGTCCGTAACAATTAAATCGGTCTCCTCGAATGTCTTCTTTTTCCTCTTGTTCTTGATCAAGCAGCACCAAAGGGCGAAGAAGCATAATACGGCGAAGAAAAAGCAGCCGAACGTGACTAAAACGACCACAATTACAGTCGGGCCATCATCCGATGATTCCATTTTTTTCTTCTTTTATTCTCTGGTGATGAGTATAGTGATGATAAAATTGATTTGAATGTTGATAGAATTTTATTTGTGCTTGGAGTTCCTTATATACTATGTCATGATTTTTAGTGTAGCTTATGGCAATGCCTTTTAAGGATTGGAAAACTTGGCTCCTATTTTAAGGTTTTGTGTAGATGAGATAGGTTTGCAGTGGAGTACACTCATTTCTTGTGATTGCTTTCACTAATTTGATCAACAGTAAACTTGAAAGACATGAAAATGAATCATCGGTCGACACCAAGAAACGAGATTTCTTCGAACAACTGAACAAGAGAAATGCATCGTCACGAATTCAAACACATCATATATCACAAACATGAACTGAAAAGAATGGATGTGTTAAAGTTACTCTCTTGTGTACAGAACAACAATTATTAATAATACAAATATTAACTTTATCAACAAACAAACAAACACAACGAATGTATAAACTGAAACATGTTAAATATGGCACAGAGCTGTTTCATTTAGTCAGCAACTTCACAAAAGAATCAAAGAACATTCACCCGTTGCTTGAACCTGTTTGTTAATTCCACATGCACAAAATGAGAAAAGAAATAGATATAAATATCAGTAT